CCCGGTGTGTTGAACCAGGTTTATCTACCTAGTCTGAATTAAACTAGGCCTAAAGACGGAAACGCGACGAAGAACGCACGCGAAGACGAGGACCCAACGGATCGTCTTTTTAATGATGATCCGTTCAGATTGCCACTGACAATCAGCAGACGGCGTTGCGTCGTCTATCGCTCGCCAGAAGCAAATGTGGATTCGTAGTGCGACGGTCGTACGACCGTCGTACAACGCAGTGAGTGTCCGGCTTAATTTGCAGTCGAACAATATTCGAACTTCGGCGAGGTGCGCGCGGTGGTCGCGGAGGCTTTGCCTGTGAATTCACACAAGAGTTGATCCGATTGATCCAAGACCAACTTTTTTTTAAATTCGCGGCCGATGGACCAATCGCAAGACTTAGATTCAAACTATGTGAACGGTCAACAATAAAGTCGACCGGCCAAAACGATCAAAACAATGTACGGTTCTGCACACGATGACATTTGCCCACCCGTCGGACAGGCTTGGATCCCCCTGTCGTCCGACGAAGGACTAGGTCGTAGGTCCAAAAATTAAAAACATAATAATAATTTGCATATTATCTAAATAACGCAATTTTAATTGCCAATCCCTATTATTGTGTTCTAAAAGCACATTTAGGACCAAATTAAGCCATATAAAAATCTCCCCGTGAACCCTAACAGGGATTTTTTTTAATTCTGGGCCGTCGACCGAGGCTTCGTCGTTGCCTTGGTTCGGACCCTTCCGTCGGACACGTTGGACCTCTTGTCGGCAAATTTCTGGCGCCATTGCTGCTTGTTAAAGTGATTGTCATCTACAATAGACAGTGTTATATTCGCTATTGACAATCCTTGTAGCAAGACTGTGTCCAAAGAATTATAAAACTACGGTATGCACAAATAAAACTAATTTCTGAGAGAGGCTGACTGGCTTACAGACTAATTGATTGGTTAATTGATTGATATCTTCCGATGCAGAAAATAAGTACCGTAGCATTTTTCGGAGTTTGTTATAATATTGACACTTCACCCAAACATATAACATTATTCAATGATTTTTGTGTTTCATATTTATTTACTTTCAAACATGGTATTTCAATATTCATAATATAATAGTCTTCTTACAAAACAACGCAAACAGATCTGAATTTATTTAATTCAAGACCAGAAAGCACCAGATAAAAAATAAGCCTAGAACTATATCTAATTTTTACACACATAATTTATATAAGAAAAACACGTTTATTTCTGTAATATTGTGGTCAAAATTCATGATTTATTTTAACATAAATCAAATACCACCAACTTGTCTAAAGCAGTAATATACTTTAGTTAATCTACAGTATTTATATAAAAAAATATTTGCAAAATAGCGCTTATGAATACATAACAAATTGTATTTTGTACCGAACAGTGATTCTTATATTACGCCCTCTACGTTCGAAATAAGTGCAGACGGAAAAAGTTTTTTTGCCTTGAAACTCATTGTTTATAATGTAATGTGGAATTTTATTGATAGTTTTCACTTCCTGTTGAATTAAATAAGATATAACTTTAATTTATCTAACACAAAAAAAGAAACAGCTACAAAACATCTAGACTTATATATTATTTTATGATTAGTTTAGGTCAGGTATGTCTAATAAAAAAAAGTCTGAATAGAGATTGTTTGGCACAACAAAAGTAAGTTTGTAGAATTGTAGTTAAGCTTCCGGCGAATGCCAAAAGACTCTAAAGCGTAACAAAGGTAATGGTTTAAGCATGGATATTTTACTATGGTTTAGGTAGATCATGACCTATTAACAACGAAAATATATATATATATAGGCATATTACATA